ACCTCTAGACGAGGAGTATGCCAGACAATCTATTCTGACTGTGCCAGAAATTTCATAGGAGCTGATATAGAACTCAAGAAATTAATCACACAATTCACCAGAGAACATGAGGTTATCTCTAGATTCATCATCACCAACGGCACTCAATGGTCATTCAACCCACCTGCAGCACCACACATGGGTAGCAAGTGGGAGTCAGTAGAGAAATCACTTAAATTTCATTTGACGAGAACAGTAAAAGAATCATTCTTCACGTTTGAAGAGATCACCACACTACTGACACAAATAGAAGCCATTCTCCACTCAAGACCTCTAGAGCCAATCAGTGATGACCCAGAGGCCATTCAAGCACTCACTCCTGGACACTTTCTTATTGGGTCAGCACTCAACACTGTTCCTGAACCATCAACCTCAGAACCTGCACATTCAATTCGAAATCGATGGCGGATGATTCAACAACAATCACAGCAGTTCTGGTACAGGTGGTCACAATCTTACTTACAAAAATTACAAGCTATTTTTAAGTGGTTTTTCAGGAACAGAACAATTCAAGTCGGTGCATTAGCCTTGCTAACAGATGGAAGATTTCCCCCCACGAAATGGCCACTCGTGAGGATCTTTCAATTGCACCCAGGTCAAGACGGGCTTCCACGAATAGCAACGGTGAAGACATCAACAACGACGTTGGTCAGACCAATCGTCAAACTAGCCATTCTAGCAATCAACCCAACTCCTGAAGCCCAGCAGCAGAATCAACTAGAAGACAATCATCAACCAGTTGCTGATGGCGGGCGGCATGTTGAGAATTAATTAATTCTCAACGCACACAAACTATTCTTATGTTAAATCACTTTAAGATAGAAAAATCATATAAAAATCATCAAGAAGATTGTATCAATATGAATGATACCTGAATTTCACTTCCGAAAAAAGATGTTAAAATAAAATTTAAAAATTTTCATTTTAAAGAGCCTGTGCCATTTGCTATGTATGCCGATCTTGAGAGTATTCTTGAACCTAATAATAAAGGTAATCAAAAGCATATTTCATGTAGTGTAGCCTATTATATGCACTGTACATATGACAATTTAAAATGTCGATTTAATCTTAAACGTGTCGTTAATTGTATAAACTGGTTCATGACTGAGTTGAAAAGAAAGCTGAAGCTGTCAAAACTTACTTAGAAAACGTAGTCCCAATCAAATCATTAACATCCAAACAGTTAAACGATTTTCGTAATGCAAAAAACTGTCACATTTGTAATAAATCATTTTTACATGATGAAACGAAAGTACATTATCACTGTCACTTTACAGGCAATTATCGAGGCGCTGCTCATGTTAATTGTAATTTAAATTATTAAAATTCATGCATAATTCCAGTCATTTTTCATAACCTCTCAGGATATGACTCAAATTTTTTTATTAAATCATTAGCTACATCATTTAAAGGTTATATGGAAGTATTACCTGTCAATAAAAAAAAAATACATAGCATTTACAAAAACAGTTAATCAGAAAATTTCCCACATAAAAGAAAAATATCAGTGCTCTGCAGTGGTCTGGGTGCGACCCGAAAGGTCCACACGACCAACTTCCGTGTGGAAAAATTAAAAAAACCATTCGAATAGAACCCGTTTCCATTTTTTATAACAAATTGAATTGTTATAAACGAAATGAGTCTGTTTTTATTCATTTGATATGGTTAGTTACTTTATTTCAGTAAAAGAAAAAATTGTGCGTTAGAAGAATTCGAATGTACCTCATAGATCCTTTTTTTCATTATTTACAACGAATTTCATTGTTATACACGGAGAAAGTATGTTTTCATTTATGGCATACGGTTGGTAACTTTTTTTTAGCAAAAGAAAAAATTACGCGTTAAAAGAATTCAAATATATTGCATAGATCTCTATTTTATTGTTTATAACAGATTTTATTGTTATAAACAAAAAGAATGAGTTTTCATTTATGGCATACGGTTGGTAACATTTTTTTAGTAAACGAAAAAATTATGCGTTAAAGGTACTCATATATATAGAAAGGGTCCCTATTTTTATTGTTTATAACAATTTAAAACTTTTTATTTAAATATTACTATGGTCAATAATCACTTGTTAGTAACGATGTTCAATTGTCATGAACACAATTCCATATTATTGACAATTATTATTGACTATTATAGCGTCTTTAATGCTATTTTCTCCATCCCAACACAAGTTTAAAATTTTTTTATTGCTGATTTCGTTTTTTAAAAATTTTTTTTTCTATGAAATACTGTCATCATATTTCTGTACAGTTATTCTAAACATTTGATATTCATATTTTTCAAAGGATCTCGAAATTCCGTCTAAAAAATGGTATAATTTAGAAATTGCAGAATTTAGGTAGTTCACTATTTTTTCAGTTTTTTGATTCTGCATAAAAAATGGCTAGACCGATTTTGCTGAAAATCTAATCAGTTCTAAGTTACGTAATTAAGCGTCGGATGCGATTGGTCCCACATCGACATCATTTTTTGTTCTCGAGATAATCGAGGCGAAAAATAATTCCGAACGCACGTCCGAACATACGGACATACGTACATACACACACACAGACGTCCACGTAAAAACTATCGTATTCAACTCTGGGGACCTTAAAACGTGGAGATATGTCAAAATTAGCGATTCGCAAAATCGGACCCATTACTATACCTTCCCACTGGGAAGTTAAAAAAAAATATTTGTTAAATCACGATTTATTGATTCTTTCCGATTCATGAGCAATAGTATTGAAAAACTTGCAAAATTTTTGGATAATAACGCAAAATCAATTACCAATAGTTCTTATCCCGAGCCAGATAAATTTCAGTTAGTAACTCGTAAAGGTGTTTTCCCATATGAATATATTGACAGTTGGCAAAAACTTGACGAACGACAACTACCTGACAAAACCAAATTCTATTCGAAACTCAACGATTCGGACATTTCCGATGACGATTACCAACATGCACGCCACGTTTGGGATCAATTTCAACTAAACACCCTCGGTGAATATTCAGATTTATATTTGAAAACAGACGTTTTTCTGTTAGCAGACATTTTTCAAAATTTTAGACAAAGTTGTATCTCTACTTATGAGCTTGATCCGTTACATTATTACACTGCACCTGGATTAGCTTTTGATGCTATGTTGAAATATACAGAAATTGAACTCGAACTCTGGGACAATGTGGAAATGCTTAATATCATAGAAAAAGGTATTAGAGGAGGAGTGGCACAGTGTTCAAATAGATATGCAAAAGCTAATAACCCGTATATGTGTAATGATTATAACCCCAATGAAAATATATCATATCTCATGTATTTTGATGTAAATAATTTGTATGGAGCAACAATGATTGAGTACCTACCAACTGGATCATTTGAATGGGTGAAAGATGACATCAATATTTCTAATATCTGTGAAATAATTAAAAATATCTCCAATGATTCTCCAGTTGGTTACATTTTCGAGGTTGATTTAGAGTATCCAAAAATCTTACACGAGCATCATAAAGATTTGCCATTGTGTCCTGAACACCGTAAACCTCCAAACAGCAATAGCAGCAAACTTATGACGACATTATTACCTAAACTTGAATATGTGATTCACTACAGAAATTTAAAACAATGTCTCGATTCAGGAATGATTGTAACTAAAATCCATAGGATCCTTAAATTTAATCAATCACCATGGATGAAGAATGTAGAATGTATGTAGATCTGAATATAGATTTACGAAAAAAATCTAAAAATGATTATGAAAAGAATTTCTATAAATTAATGAATAATGCAGTTTACGGAAAAACAATAGAAAACGTTCGGGAGTATAAAGATGTAAAGTTAGTTACACAGTGGGAAGGTCGGTATGGTGCAAAAAATCTCATTGCCTCTCCAAAATTCCACAATAGTATAATTTTTGACAATGCCATGGTAATAATAGAAATGGAGCAAAAAAACATATATTTCAATAAGCCGATATACGTAGGATTTGTAGTTTTAGATCATTCAGAAATGTTTATTTATGACTTCCATTACAATTTAATTAAAAGACAATTTACAGACAATCAGGTAAAATTATTATACACAGATACAGATAGTTTAATTTATCAATTTCTCAATGCTGATATTTATGATTGCATCAAAGATAATATACATAAATTTGACACCTCAGACTATCCACCAAATAACCGTTTTCATATTCCATTAGTGAATAAAAAAATTGTAGGTGTTATGAAAGATGAAAATAAAGGTGAAATAATGACGGAATTCATTGGTCTAAAAGCAAAAATGTACACATTTGAACTTCAAAATAAAAAAGACAAATATAGTAAAGCAAAGGGTGTCAAAACTGCAACAATAAAATCTATTACATTTGATAATTACAAAAAATGCTTACTTAATCATAAAAAATTATGTAAAACGGAATATCATATAGTCAGCGAGAAACATAATGTACATACAATTAGTAGACAAAAATTGGCATTAAGTTGGGAAGACAATAAAAGAGTTCTTTTAGCACAAACAACTGATACACTTCCTTGGGGTTATAATTTATATTAAATAGTGTAAATAAATTATTGTAAATATGGGGTTTATGTTAAAAGAAAATAATTTGTAAAGAAAAAAATTTATCCAATAAAAAAAAATATTATAAATTTTTTACATTAGTTTGTATTGAACTCATCTTCTACAAAGAATATGACAAAATCATCTTCATTCCTATTGGTCTTATTTTTTTTTAATTTCTTTTAACATTCGTTTATTAATTTTATCAAGGAGTTTAATTTTTTTTTTTCTCTTTTAATTTGTTGTTGTTCTTTATGAGTTTAAGGTATTTATTCAATGTTAGCAGCTTTATCTTTTGTATAATGTGGTAATTTTTGAGCATCACTATACATTTTGTCAGCCATTGTTTCTAGCTCTTCAGCTAAAGACCTTTTGGCAGTCATTGTTTCTATCTCATCAGTTAGAGAAATTAAAAATCTTTTTTGTTAATCCAGCTATAGCGTATTTTATCGAATCCTAACCACTTGACGAAAGCTTGATTACCACGTTTTTTCAGAACTTTTTTTACCAAATAAATATCAGGGTAATGAACCTTAGGCAATTCTTTTTGATAAAAACCTCCTTCAATCGGTTGATCGTCATAGTCGACAAGCTTGTAGGTTACTAGATCAGTGCTCAATACTTGACTTACATTAAAGATTTCACTTGTCCAATTATGGGTGTATCCCTTCTCAAAGCCATGCTTATATTTACTTATGCGTACTTTGTTCCCAACCTTAAATTTAGTCTTCTTCATGTTTTGTTGAACTTTAAGTTTATTGTTATTGTAATAACGTCGCAACGTAAATTGTTTCCACATTTCACTTTTTAACGTGCGATTAAATCGTTCACATATATACCATTTTTGGATTTTGTGGGCACAGCCCAAGCGTATTTTGAAAAAATATCAATAACAGTCAATAAATACTGATGACCTTTATTATAAGATTTATATGCTGTCATGTCAACTAGATTAGCTTGCCAAGTATCATCAAACCCACGTATATCAACATGTCGTCGTTGATAATTTCTTCTAACCGGTCTATGCAGCTCATTTCTTCCAATTGTTTAATACTTTCAGCTTATTTACGATTTGCTTTTTTCAGTAAACGTAATCGTTCTGACTCATGCAGTTCAATTGTTTCATTCAATTCTTCTTTTAGACGTTTACGATGTTCTTGTGATGAATCAATATGTTGCTCTACTTGAATATTGATGATTTTGATTCTGTCTCTATTTTCTTCAACAATTCTTTTTCAATTTGTTACAGTTTCGCGTAACAGACGTAATTCTATTTCAAGAAATTTTTTCAAAATTGTAATCTTTTCTTTAATTACTCCTAATCATGTTGTATCATTTAAATCTATTGGTTTAGCGAGATTACACAATCTCTTATTATCAATGTCAAACTGTTGATCCACAGTTAATTTGAATCCTTCACCTGGAGGTCTACGAACAGCGCTTTTCACAATATCTTTCGCTAACTGTCGTCCAAAAACGTCAACACTCATTTTTAAACCTATCACTTCAAAAATTCTTTAAAGAATGAGTAGCTGTATGGAATACATCAGATGTATAAATGATTTCAGTTTCACGCAATTCCTCTAAAATTAATAAAATTTCGTTAGTATGACTGAAATTTCCAGCAGTTTAAGATGCAATACGTAAACGAAGTCGATCTACAAGTTCATTGGAATCATCCCAATAAATATAATCGGTAGGATGATTTTGCTTATGTTTGATCATATATTGTAGTAAACTTTCTCCACTTTTTGGTATATATTTACTGATTATGTCGGTGAATTTTTTCAAATTCTTATCTACTCTGATACTTCTGTCAGGAAGATAATGCTTTCAATAGGTTTTTAATAGAAGCAGTCAATATCTCTACATCATCCCATACAAAAAAAGGTTCACATATCTTGTTTTTCGCATGCAACATCATCGAAAATCATAATTGAGTGGGGTTTTGCTACATCCGGTTTTACCACTTCCTCATGCTCATTAAAAGCATAAAATTTAATACCTTCAATTGGTTCAATTATTTTTTTTAAAAACTGATATTTAGTTTGGTTGAATAATTTTGAATACAAATAAATATTTCCAAATCGTAGGCCATTTAGATGTACAAGAAGTGCTAAAAGAGTATTTGTATTTCCACAATTTAATGGACCACAAAGAACGCCAGATACTATTTGGTAAAAGTTGTCCGTGACGTTTAATATGTATTTCTCGTGATAGGTCAAAGTTAATTACAGGCAACTTAATGTCTTGTTGATTGAACTTCATCTTGATGTTGAATAACATTCTAGCTATAAATTTACATCTTTTATAGGTAACAAGTTAGTCGTTCTTGAACAATGATATTGCTGAACGAATTGCTGCTTTAGGAATTTCCAACGCCATGAAAGTTAAATCAAAATTGGGAATTGGTTTGAAAGAAAAAAACAAAAAGGACAAGGGAGTTAAACATTTGCAAAAAGTTGTTAATTCAGCAAAGCTTATGTTAAATTCCAGTTCAGATCCTATTAAATCTGCATTAGCTGCTGCACGAAAGACTATTCGCGATGCTGGTGGAAAGAAAAAAATCAAAGTTCCACGTATTATACCAATGCCGCCGAAAGTGGGAGGTATTTTACCTCTTATTCCTCTATTTGCAGGTTTAAGTGCAGTCGGTGCTGTAGCAGGTGGCGCTGCTGCTATCGCAAAAGCAATTAATGATGCTAGAGACGCCAAACGTCAATTAGAAGAAGCTAAACGACATAACGAGAAAATGGAAGCAATAGCTTTGGGTAAAGGCCAACGTCTAAAACCGCACAAGAGAGGATTAGGACTGTATTTGAAACCGGCAAAAAAAAAACTTTTAAATTCACCCCATCGTGCACTGACTGATATTGAACTTAAAAAATATGCACAAATCATGAAAATACCCTTTTTTCGTGGTGTTTTTATGTGAAATGATCTTCCAAAATCTACACCGTGGAAAAATGAATCAGCAATTATTAATCTCGATGGTAAAACTGGACCTGGAACACATTGGGTGGCATATAAAAAACGTGGTAATGAAGTTAGGTATTATGACAGTTTTGGCAATTTGCAGCCACCACATGAGCTTATGAAGTATCTCAATGTTGATAAAATACTGTACCATCATGAAAAACATCAAGATTACAGTACAGATAATTGCGGACACTTCTGTTTAAAATTTTTACGTAGAAAAGTATAAAAGAAATATGCACTTTCCAATAAGCATCAGTCATAGATGATTCACTCACGTTGACATTGTCTGGACAAACGTCCCTTCTAGAAGCGTTTTATTTTCCACCAATTGAATTATCATTATCTAAAAAATATACCCTAGGACTTGTGGAATTGTTAACCTTCAATTCCATTCCAAATATTGATAACGGCAATACTAAATTTTATTATACACTCAATGGTGCAGATAAAAGTATTAAAATACCCACAGGAAGCTATGAAATTGAAGACATTGAAAATTATTTGAAGAAAGCTGATACTCAATTATCAATTTCTATAAAGCCCAATAATAATGAACTACACAGTGAAGTTTACAGTGAAAATGCAACAATAAATTTCAAACCGCATGATTCTATTGGTAGTTTGTTGGGCTTTAGTCCACGAGTTATTATTCCAAAATTGACTCATACATCAGACTTACCAGTGTCTATCTTGAAAATTAATGCATTAAGGATTGAATGTAATATTACTACAGGAGCATACATGAATAATCAGTTGGTACATACGATTCACGAATTTTTCCCATCAGTTACACCAGGATATAAGATCATTGAAGTTCCATCAAACGTCATTTATCTTCCAATCACCGTACAGACAATACATAATTTACAACTGCGCATTGTTGATCAAGATGGTCAATTGGTAAATTTACGTGGTGGAACTGTAACAATACGTTTACATTTGAAATCAGTCACGTGATGGGGATTGTTTATAAACCAATAGTAGGAAGAAGCTAGAAAACTAACATATCATGCCTGAATCCCATCAGTCATCGAAGAAAACTTCATATCAAACCCTTCATATGATGGGGAAATTTACAAAATCTAACGGAAATGCAGTAGCAGCAACATTAAGATTCGTAAATATGGTCGTATGCTATTTATTTGAAGAAATACGATATTGAATAGCATTGAGATTGATCGGAATAAAAATGTTGGTCTTACAAGTCTCATGAAGGGATATCTATCTCTTCATCCAGGTCAAAAAAATTATTTAGATAATGCAGGTTGGGTAACTGATAATGAAAGATTATTTAATGATAATGGATACTTTGATGTTTCGATACCGTTACATATGCTATTAGGATTTGCTGAAGATTATCATCGTATAATTGTCAATGCCAAAAATGAATTGATACTTACTCGTTCGAATACTGATCTTAATGCAATTGTACAAGCTACAGCGGAACCTGAAGAGACGATCACGCTTATAAAAATTGATGGATCATTCCATATGTCACTGTTGCAGACATAAAAAAAGTAGAATTGTTAAGTTACATTGCAAAAGACCCACCGATTCCAGTGTGTTTCAGATCATTGGAATTATATGAATATCCAATGCTGCCGAACACAACCAAACACGTATGAGTCGTAGAAACATCAACTCAATTGGAAAAGTCCCGCTATGTTATATTAGGATTTCAAACTGCACGCAAAAATGATGCTACAAAAGATGCAAGTCATTTCGATCATTGTGATTGAAGGGATGCAAAACTTTTCCTCAATTCACAATGCTATCCATATAGTAACATGAATCTTGACCGAAGTCACAATCAATTTGCCTTATTATATGATATGTATAGAGATTTCCGAACATCATATAATGATAAAGAAGCAGAACTTCTACTCATGAAAAAAAAATTTATAGACATAGCACTACTCGAATTTAAATCATCAAAAGCTTTTTCTGCTAACACATCAGCCTATTGATTGATCTTACATGATCGAATAATAGAGTATAAACCTTAGAGTGCGCAAATGAGAAAACTAACATATTGTAAAAGATATATATTATATAATTATGATTATATTATTCATGTATTAATCAAATTTTTTTTTGCTATAAATGAATTGTGTACACGGAAAAGATTACTGTTTTCATTCATTTATTTCCAGAAAAACCCGATAGTCGGTAGCGCAAATTTGAGAGAATATTAATACATTGACAAAACTTTGAAAATCAGTTATTTTTGTTGATAGTGAAATTTCAATCGTGGTTGGTAAAAAATCGGTATTATCATCGAAGATAATTTATCGAGGTCGGTAAAAAAAATCACAATCAATCTCTGCCGATAATTTATCAGTGTCGATAACTTATCACGGCCGGTAACTTATCGTCAAAGTTATCGCGGTCGGTAATTAGTGCGGATCAGAACCCACTTTTTTTGACTTGGCCCGTATTCCAGAGTGATCCAGAACCGGCCCTGCTTACCTACTAGCTTACTCCTGCCCAATTCTTGCGTTTAAATCCACACATACAAACACCATCTCATAGTTACTCAGCCCCTGCTCAATAGCTTTTTGAAGCTTATTCTCTAATACTTTCCCTCCGAAGTTGTTATAGACAGTTATAATCCAATACTCTTTGCATTTGTTTATTATCAAGCCAAAGTTCCACACTTGGACACTCCATTCAATCGCCAGGCTTTTCCTATAGCAACTATCTGATCGCCATCTAACCTTCCTTTTTTCTTATTATTTTCCAACTTTTTTGACATTTTCGCTCAGTATTTTAACTCACAGCTTAGCTGCACTGAGAAAAATCGAGATAGTTGAGCCAACT